TTTTTGGTTTTTGCCATAGGGCTTTTTTGCTTGCTGGACAGAGATACAGAAAGGGAAAGTAAGAAATCACTCCAGAGGGAGGATAGCCATGTCGCAATCCCATCTCCTCCATTCTTCTGGGATTTTGGGCATACATACACATGTGCCCAGACTGATTTTCAAGCTGCTATGGCCAGGACTTGAACGGCCATCTGCCATGTGGGAGTCCAACACCTTAAACACTACACCATCTACTGGTCCCATGAGCTCGCATTCTTACCTGTGGCTACAATTTAGAATCACAAGTTCAGAAGTAGTAACAAGGAAGTCGGAGAAGACAAACATTTTATTTGTAATATGAACAATTAAAAATTGTTTAATTGGCTCAGTTAGTCTTGTCCTAGAGAGCTGAGTTACAAGTTTTAGGTGAGTTGAATTCATCTTACTCTGTTCTACTTTTAACTACCATTTCGTGTTTAACTGTATGCTAATAAACTTTTCTTGGTCTAAATGTGAGGAAAACAAAGATATCTACACGCTGTAACTCATGAATGGACGCCAGACTGTCACATGATCACACAGGGATTTCATTGCCACTTTTAAGTATCTCAAAATGTCACTAAATTTGTTTCACTTAAAACATTTTATGAGTTGTGGTCACATATTGGTTTTCCATTATATTATCTATTTAGTCTGAGAAAGCAAATTTCATTAGGGCACAGTGTCAGAGTGATTTTCTGGGCAATGGCTCTTTGAGAATCGCTGCTGTTGTCATAAGCGGTCTGCTTTTTGATAACACTGTACCACAGCTTAGCCATTACTTGTCTAACAGAATTACCACTGGGAGCGAACTGGCCCCCACGCAGCAGGGTGCGGAGCTTAGAGCCCTCAAGTCCTATAAAGTCAGCCATCCCTGGATTAAGCTTTTTATTTCGTGACTGTTTAATGTCTTACACATTATAATCAGCATTTTAATTCAGGATTTGGCCCTCCAGCAGTTTTCCAAAGGGTACACATATGAAGTTTAGAAATTAACGAGTTTTTTTTTTTTTTTTCGTCACCATAACTTGTACTGGGAAAATATTTTTATACTGGTGTCCATGTTAATACTTAAGCTGACATTATGCTATTGGGTTGACAGCACTGAAAAGGGGCAGATAGTGGGGAATCACTGCTTGAATTTGGTTGAAGGGCTTTATGGTTTCGGAGTGATAAAGGGAAAGAAGAAATGATGTGACATTGTATTTAATTAAGAAAATTTGTAAATCAATATTTCTGCCTGAGAATGTGTATACATTTTAGGGATGAGAATGTTCATATCTCTGTCTTTAGAATCAAGTGTTCATAAAAAGAATTTAAGCTACTCTACTATAAAACTAACAAAGATCATTATTATAAACCAATGAGGTATGAAAGTTTTATTTTTTATTATTTTAAAACAAATATCAGCTGTAATATTTGCTTCTTGAGTCACATTTTATTTTAATTTTATGTCCTCTGTTTCTAATTTTGTAATTGTCATATTTCTGGCTGCTCTAAATACAAAAGTATTTTGTATCACCACCTTGGGATTTCTACCTGAAATATAAAAATGTTTTATATTTATAACTTTTTGAAAAGTTCCTAGTTTATCAAATTTTTGACATCATTTACCAAAAATCTTAAAAATATTCACACTGTTTACATTCAGGGCTGAATTGATATTTTTCTCATGTCATGTCCAACCTCATATTTAAATTTTAAAAAAGTATTCTGGTAATGAAATTGTAATGTGTGTTTTGGATGAAAGTTGTTTTAAATAAGTAGAAAAACATCAATTTCATTCCAGTGTATCTTCGCACATGCTTTTGAGGAAGCTTATAAATGAAAGCATATATCTCAAGCAGTGGCATGCCTAATTTAATTCTATGAAAAAAATGCTATTGGGTTAATGTTGTACCATTACTACCAAGTCAAAAATAAATAAATAAATAAAAAAAAACTCAGACCAGGCGCAAGGTGTAATGGTTATGTCACTGGACTCCCATGTAGTCAACCCCAGTTTGAGCATCAGACTTGTTGACTTAAAATGTACTCTGGGCATGTGGGCTTATGTGCCCAAATCCAGAGAGGAAAATAGAGGTCCTGGGGGTGATTTCTTACTTTCTGTCGCTCTGTTTCTCTGATGAGCATACATGCCCTATAGGAAAAAATCTCTCTCTCAAAAAAAAAAAAAATCAAAACCCAAACCCAACCTTTTCTATTTTTTTGTGAGAAGGAGGGACATAAAAAATACAGACTCATATTTGTTGCATCTGTACAAAGAAATACGGGGGGGGGGGGGGGGAGCACCAAGGGGCGTA